GGTGAGGTATGAAGAGCCCTGGTCGAGGTGGAAATTGATTCCTGGGCAAGCATATGGTGAATGTGTAGGGCCCTTCCAATTCCGAAATACTAGTTACACTACTCACCATTGAGGGAAACCACCCTGCAGTACCTGCAGAAAGCAGCCACAGCTGAGGTGGGAACAGAGCAATTCCAGCCAGGAAACCCTGTCACCTCCCAGCTTGGCACCTGCGTTACCACAGTAATGGCACTGCAAATCTACAATCCCTTGGTCCTGTTAAGGCTAGTGGTCATCTGCAGTTGCAAGGCTTGGGCTATTTAACCTGTGCATTAAAAGTGTGAACTGCAGAACTGAAGCTCCTTGCATTAACCAAGGTGCAATTGTGTCTCACTTAAGAACAACCAGTACATATCCCCAGCTTTCTTGCATTGTACATATTCTCCAGGTGGTAATGTTCCCTATGACACACTACTTCTGAAGAATTACAGATTAGTCCTCCAACTAGTCAGATCATTTAAGCATTGGGGAGTATCCACCAGAACCACGGAGGACAGTTCTTAGGAGTTTAAGTCTGTACACACAAACTTCCAATGACACCTTCACTTTATTGCACGGCTTAGTAGGTACAAGATCAGGGTCAAGCACATGACAGGAGGTCAGAGGATCACCAGACAAGCCCAGCATCTTGGTTCCACATTACAAATGCAGTGCATCTCTGTTCTTCCCCATGGGATCAACAGGGCTCTTCCTGCAGGTGGGAAAGGAAAAAGGTTACATTGACCAATGTCCTGACACTTTGACCATTATAATGTTGTCTCAGCAGTTCAATACCAACATCGGTACCCAGGCCAGTCATTTTGTATCCCCAAGGAGCATGAGCCGTCACTGTAGGACTCCCACACCATCCCCCAGACTTGTCCAGTTGAGATACTGCCGTGAATAAGCTCCCATTTAGCACAGAAGGACTGGGGTGTTGGACTGATGCCTGTATCCACAGTACCTTTAATCTCCACCCATTTCAACAGCCAAGTACAGCAGTGTCCTACCTGGGATCTCAGTGCATCTCTCCTCACTGGCTGTGCAGCAGGGTCAAGCTGGGTTTCTGTATCCCACAGACGGCTCTTCCTGGTATACAGCTTTCCTCAAGAGCCTCCAAACCTAGTCCCTTGGAATAGGGTTATTGTCACATCTCTTCACAATGGCATGCTGCAAAGACATACTGGATGGATTCCCCCCCCCCACCCACCCAGTGTCCATCATTTGAGATGGATCCATGCAAGCTCTTGTACATGCCCATGAAGCATCAATTGTGCAGAGTTTCTATAGTCCAGTCTAGGACTATACTGCCTCCAGAGTCAGTACAGAGGAGCAGCCAACTAACCTCAGCTAAAGAAAAAAAAGTATTTCAACACTAAGCAATGTGATCTAGCTCAGTACATTTTCTCATGCAACCCCCCCTGAACATCTCCATTAAATATCAGTGACCAGTAGTTCTATAATGCCAGTTTACTCCACAGCTTCAGGTCACCTTAACATGACCTACCCCTGAACTGGCACACATCCTTTTCACACAAAAGGAATCTCCCAACATGTAGCACTCCCTACTGGATAGTTTCACTTACTGCATTTCCAAACCACAGCTCAGCTTGGCAAGTCCCAAAGAGAATCAACTGGCTTCAGGAACAGTGTGCTGGTTGAATTATCCAAGCAACTGACATTTTGGTCTTTTTTTCTCCAAACAGCTCCTAGTATTCTAGAAACAGGAACATTGGGAACACAGCTCACAATGAATGAGTCTCTTCTTCTACTGAAGGTGTAATGTAGAAGTGTTTCTCCCAGGCTTCACTTTTATAAGCCTCTTCATTAATTACAGGGGTTTGGCTAAATCCATGGGAACCAATCCCAAAAGCCCTAAAATCCTCATGTGGAGTGGCCAGGTGTGTCCAGCTCGATAGTGCACACCTGCTTCCAGATCCCGCCTGCTCAGAAGCCATCTTAGCTCAGAAACACCACAGCCTGGGCTTGAGCCAAAATGGAAGGTGCCTACAGAAGCCTTCTAGGGACACCATGATGTTGCTTTAATACATTTTCCCTGAACATTCAGTGTGTTCCTTTTAAGCCCTTCAGCACAGCATACCTCAATCTATTTCAGAAATAGATTAAGAAAGAAAGAAAATGATTTGATTATAGCTTATAAATACATATTCCTTTTTTTCTGGTTTTAGCACATTACTTCAGCACTCAATATTATTTGTCGATGCCTGCTATGATTGGAATGGTGTTCTCAGTTGATGTATCACAAAGGAGAAAGACAGTTCTAAAAACATGCTTTGCTAATAGAATCCCCTGTATTAAAACAATAACAATGTTTGATGAGTGTTGTAATTTTAGTTAACTCTCATCTGTTCCGCTGACACTCAAGGGGAAGGGACTGAGCTCATGTGCCTCCTCTATTCTCTTCCCCAGGGCCCTGTCAGTTCAGTGAGGGCTCCCTGCTTTGTGTCTCTAACCCAAAGGACGATGTCTAGCCTTAGCTAGATCTAAACATAGATCTGTGAGCTCCCCTTTATTTTGCTTTGCACTTCCTGTGATCTTAGAAATGATGCCAGCATGTTCCAGGCAGGCAGACACTTCTGAAACTCCACCCTTTTGAACAGATGTATCAATAAAATTGTTGTTCAACATGAACCTAGTCAGCCTACTTGCTAAAATTGCAAAACAAATTTAACTTTCCACATTGAGAAGTGAAATGTGTTGGAGTTGCTTGAGATTTGTTGAGTTATGCTCTTTGGTAAGAAGCTCATGTGGTGTCATACTGCCTTGCAAGAAAGCAGAGTTCTCTAAAAAGGATTACAGGTTACTATGCGACCAGAGCTCAAGAGCATAGGGAAGCTTAGGAGATTCAGCTGGAGGATGATTATAAGGTCAGGATAAAAACTTCCCAGGGAGAACTGAAGCCAGGCCATCAGCAGTGAGTCAGTAGCAGACAGGAGGAGATGTGAGGTCAGGTCTCCCGTTAACATGAAGGCTGAGGCACTGGATCGACCTCCTCTTTTGTGAACTGCAACTTTCCTGATCTTTTCTCCATATAGTTTAGTGCTTAGGGTAAGGCTTAAAGCTTAGAATCGGGGTTGGGT